CTGTCTCTTTCTGCCCATGCTGGGCACACGGAGGAAAGGGCCTTCTGGTAGCAATGCCCAGCAAACAGAGGCAGATCTGCTGGCTCTCTCTGCCTGCAGTGGGCATGCCGAGGAAAGGGGTTTCCGGTGGTGGTGCCCAGCACGCAGAGCTGGATCTGCTGGCTCTCTCTACCCACGCTGTGGCCCCAAAATTAGCCTCCTAAGTAGCTGGGATTACAGATGTGTGTCACCATGTGCAGCAGGACAGATTTGTGTGTGAGTGAGAGTGTGTGTGTGTGTGTGTGTGTGTGTGTGTGGTACTGGACATTGAACTCAGGGCCTTCACACTGAGCTACAACCCTATCCCTTTTTTACTTTTTATTTTGAGACAGTGTCTCATCAAATCACTAACTAACTGGGCTGGGCTCAAATTTGTGATTCTCCTACCTCAGCCTCCCAAAATGCTGAGATTATAGGAGTACACCACCATGCCTGGTGGTGTCCTTTAAATTTTTTTTAAGTTAAAATTTTGAATCAAACAAAGAAATAATTCCAACAAATCATCAAAAATACAATAACAAAAAAGAAAACACATCATCAAGACTAATGTTCAAGTAAAAAAATAAGCAAAACATGAACAGTTTTCAGAAAATACAAATAAATGTCTTTTAACATAAAAAAATCACCCCTCAGTAGGATGTGAATCAAGCTACTATGAAATACCACTTTCAATCCACATGCCAAACTTTAAAAAATGTTTGATAATACATTATACTGACTAGAATTTAGGAGCACATTTTTTGGTGGGAACATAAATTGGTAATACTTCATTGAAGTCACTTTGGAATAGCTATGGTTCTTTAAATTTAATCATGGCTTGAAGCTTGTTAGTTCATCAGAGTAGGATCTCTATCCCCACTTAAAAGTTTTGTTGGTTCAGTAAATCATACCCTTGTGCAACATTTGAGTTCAGCTTGTTCAAAGTCATTTTTGGCCCACTGCATTGTCACACAGTTGTGTAATCCTAGCATTCAGAGGTTGAGGTAGGAGGATCTTTATGAGTTCAAGGTCAGCCTATGCTACACAGCAAGTTCAAAGCCAACTTTAACCGCCCAGTGAAAACCTGTCTCAAAAAACAAAGTCATTTGCTGGTTGTGCTACATAGAAAATTGAAGCAGGAGGATGAGAATTTAAGGCCAGCCTGAGTAATTTAGTAAGACCTTGTCTCAAAATAAAGAAAAAGGGCTAGGGGTGCAGCTCACTGGTGGAGCACTTGCCTAGCATGTATGAGGCCCTGGATTCCATCTCCAGCATGGAAAAAAATCAGTAATTTTGGGTCTTATCAATTGTCCTGAGGAGATTCCTAATTTTCATTAATGTAGGTCATTGCTCAGGAGCACTGAGAAGTGGGAGCAATATAACAAAGGAGTTCACAGCAAAGGCTTTCCTAGCTCTGCAGCTATGTGGCCCGGGAGCAAGTTCCCACCCCACCCTGTGTGTTGTGGTTTGGGTCTAGATACCTCACCAAAGCCTCATGCAGTTTTAGGTGGGGGAATGGAGGTGGCTGGATCTAGATTGTGTTATGCTGGGATTAAGGGTATGTGATTACCAAATCAGTCCAGTGATTGGTTTGACACTGCCCTAATCCCAGCAGCCTGGATACAATACAAATGGGGCAGAAAGATGCTGTTAAGGTCCCTTGTAGCTTTCTTACAGTTTGTCCGCCATAAATGGTTGCCCCTCTGCCACGCCAACCTGCCTTGGAGCCAGCCAATTATGGACTCAAACCTCGACAAGCTGTTAATCAAATAAACTTTTCCTCCTGTAACTTTGGACATTGGGTATTTTATCTTGACAAGAAAAATAACTGAGATGCCATGCCTCAGCTTCCTTGGGGGCACCATAAGGGCTAGTGCAGAGGGTTGCTGAGAATATTCGATGAAATAATGAAGGAAGAATGTTTAGAACAATGCTTGACCATCATAATTGCTAATTACATATTTGTAAAAGGATTTAATGAATGATTTTTAGTCTTCTTTTTTTTTTTTTTTTTTTTTTTTTTGGTCTTTTTCATTTTTTCTGGTACCAGGGATTGAACTCATGACTGCCTGCTTGCAAGGCAGTGCTTATGCCGCAGAGCTAAATCCCCAGCCCCCTAATTTTTAGTCTTTAATGTGGCCTTTTATGTAGGTTCCCCACTGAGTAACACTCCGGTGTCTTATGGTCCTTTAAAGACAGCAAAGCAACTTTTTCCCGGACTAAGTCTGCCCCTTCAAGCCAAACCCCTTTACCTGGAGCTGTGCAGATGTCCCTCTCTGGGAAAGAGCTGATCTGGCAGCTCCACGCTCCTTGACCTCTTCAGAAGGCTGACAGGAAGACACCTTTGCTCTCAGTGGGGTGCCAGGTGGGAACTAGAGGTCAATATCCTCCTTCAAGAAGATCCTGGGGAGTTCAGAGCCTGGCTCTTGTCCCCCAAACTCCTGGCCCTGCTGGAGGAAGCAAGTTGCTTTGCCAAAACTTAAACATCTTCTTTGTAAGGTGTAATAAAAAAGGGATGGGGAAGCATCTCATCATATTTTATCATTCTTCAGAGCTTTTATCACCACCTGGCAAAACCTTATATATTTATTTATTTAATAGTATTTATTTATTTAGCAATACTGGGCACCCTTTTTTTTTTGAGACAGGGTCTTGCTAAATTGCCCAGGTTGGCCTTGTATCTACAATCCTCCTGTCTCAGCCTCCCAGAGTACTGAGATTACAGGTATGCACCACTACTTCTACTGTATCTATATTATTACAGATAATTTAGTAAGTGTATAGATGCTAACATATTTATTTATATTGATATATTCATTTATATATGTGAATATACTGTAGGTTTTATACAATATACAAAATGGACAAAATATATATCATTTATATTTTTTGCATTTGCATATAATGGTATTTTTATTGTCTACTGCAATGCAATTGCTTATTTGTTTGTTTGTTTGTTTGTTTAGTACTAAGAATCAAACTCAGGACCTTGTGCATGCCAGGCAGGTGATATGCCACTGAGCTATATCCCTGAACCTTTGGTTTCTTTTTTGAAACAGGTTCTCACTATGCAGTCCAGGCTGGTCTCCAACTTGCATGGCTTGCAATGTAATTTTTGTACTAACTTTTTTTTGGTGTTAGGGTTTGATCCCAGACCTTTATACATGCTAGGCAAACACTCTACTGCTCAACTATATCGACAGTACTTTCTGTATTTTACTTTGAGACAATATATCACTAAATTAATTGCCCAGGCTGGCCTCAAATTTATGATTCTCCTAACTCAGCCTCTAGAATGGCTGGGAATATAGCCATGTGCTGCTAAGCCTAGCCTATACAGCAACTATTATACATCACTATATTTTATATGATCTTATCTATATCATATTAAATGGCTTTTCTATTATGCTACATGGCCTTATGCATACTAGGAAGGCACTGTACTACTCAGCTACACCCGTAGCCCAAACATGTCTACATGCTCACTATAATATAACCCTCCCTTAGCTCAGTTCCTTCCACTGTAAACTGGGGATAATTATGGTAAGTAACTCATATGGCTGTTGTGAAGACTAAAACGAGTGAAAAAAAATGAAAGAATTCTGTGATGTACCAGAGACAACTTGTACAGGTTTGCAGGAATCACTTGTTCAATTTTCAGGAATTTTGTGAATTGGATGATAAACAACTATTGTTGAAAATGAAATGCCAGGACTAGGGATATAGCTCTGAGGCAAAGCACCTGCTTGGCAAGCACAATGTCCTGAGTTCAACTTCTGGTACCATTTAATAAAATGAAATGCTAGCCAGGTGTGATAGCTCCTATCTGTGATGCCAGCACTGGGAAGGTTGAGGCAGGAGGATTGAACTGAGTTCAAGGTCAGCCTTACATATTAAGTTCAAGTCCAGCCTGAAGTACATAGCAAAACTGTCTCAAAATCAAAAGCAGAAACAACAAACTATACCCTTCCAAGGTAATTTAAAGGTAATACTCAAAACTCACCATATCCTAACTACTTTACTGCATTTCAAACATTCCCTATGCTCTTGAGGTCATTTACCCTTACAGTATTTTATCTGTATGGGATGAGTAGTACGTACTGTACTACTCATATTTAGAGACTATATTTACATCTCATATTTAGAGACTATACACAAGCAAACTGAAATCTGACCAGATAATACTGTGCAAGCCATAGAAGCTGGCAAATGTTAGGAACTAGTCCCTGCCCCTGCCAAAAGTTGGTTAGTCATTTACTAGAACACCACTGAAAATTTAGGACAGTGCCCAACACATGGTAAACGCTATAAGAAATTTCCATCATCATATTTTGTGCACTGGGTCACAATGTGTACGGTATTTTTGGTAGATGGGAATTAAGAAAGGATAGGTCAAAACTGGGCGTGGTGGTGCACGTGTGTAATTCCAGAATTCAGGAGGCTGAGTCATGAAAACTGTCCCTAGTTCAAAGCTAGCCTGGCCTATATAGTGATTTCAAGGCCAGTAAGCTACATAGATGCGATCCTGTCTTAAAAAAAAAAAAGAAAAGAAAAGAAAAAAGAAATGGAAAGGATAGAACAGTTTCCTAAACGACACCTTTTTAACCTTCAAAAATGCTGTAAATTTCTGTATCGTCTCTGTTTCCCAGGTGGAGAGGATTCTGAGAGGTCAAAATAATAGAGTGCTACCAGCTAGTGGAAGCGGGATGTGAAATTGCATCAGAGTAGCTTTTGTGGGCTTTATCAACGCACTCTGCTATTCAAGCCCTCGGTGTTAATTTCACTTGGAGCCAAGAGTAAAAAGAGTGGGCCGGATCGTGCTGTTGCATCTTGGGAAATGTAGTCCATAGATACACACACACACACACACACACACACACACACACACACACACGAGAGAGAGAGAGAGAGAGAGAGAGAGAGAGAGAGAGAGAGAGATCCAAAAAGGGCCGATTTTGGCCCCGAACAATAGCACAAAGAATCTCTCTTACGTTGCTATGTTCGATCACATAGTACGTAAGTTCTGCCCCCTGTTCGTGAGCGTTGCATGCTGGGAGCGGCTGTTGTGTGACCCAGAAACGCTGACACTACCTGTCTGGATCCACGTGCTACGTTCTGGTCCGGTAGGGCTCTCCGTGGAGCTTTGGGGTTCTGCTATGCCGAGTTGACCCCCCCCCCTGCGGTGAGCATTAGGCATGGTGTGGCAGGCATCCGAGTCAGCTAGGAACACTAACCGAAGCCCTGCCATTTCTCGCTGATTGGCGCGCTTGCCAAGGCTCAGGCTGCTGGCAGACCGGTTTCCTCCCTCCTCGTCCTGCCAGCTAAGGTAGGACCTGGAGCACATAAGACGCAGATTCTGGCCGAGTCTGGAGACACTGCTGTACTGTCCCGCCGGCAGAGTTAGAGGGAGGTCGGTCCTAGGTGCTACAATTGCGTAGTCCAGACATCTGGTACCGGCTAGGCTGCAAACCCAAAGGTTATCTACATAAAGGGACTAGAATGCGGGGCGAGGTCAAGGGGCTGCGGTATGTGGCAACCCCTGGAGCCGCCTGAGTGGGGTGTAGTGGTCCCCGTGGAGCTGTGGTTTCCCAGGCAATGAGGATGCACTGGGGACATGGCCAGGGTCTGTTAATGGAAGGTCGGTGGACTGCAAGAGTTGTATAAACCTGGCGAGAGCCATTGAGGATAGATAGGGTGTGTTGGTTAGTTGATTAAGAAAGGGGTTAAAATAGTGGGGAGTGGACGGGGGTGCGCGTGACCCCTGAGGGATTGATGGAGACATGCTATTCAGCGAGTTAATGCAGAGCGGCAGGGTATAGTAATGAAGATGATAACGGTGAGTGACTGGAGCAAATAATAGAGAGGTAGGGGACACGATCAAGGGACTAATGAAGGCAGTGATGAAAGAAGAGATAGTGAGAGGCTGATGGGATATTGTAGTAGAACAGAGTAAGAAGAGTAATAGTTGTTGGGATATATGACTGAGTGATGAGTGAAGGGCAGATGGGCAGCAAGAGGAGAACAGGAAGCTGATGTGTGAGTGTCAGGGAGTAACTGGATGCACGTTAATGGCAACCTACCAGGGACCAATAGTGTGATCTGAGGCCTAAAGTGGAGGGCTACAAAGTAACAGAGCAGAACAGGCAGCTAATATGCAATGATATTCTAGACCAGAAGTGGTGAACCTATAGCACATATGCGGCAGTGAGGTGTTTGTGTCATTGAAAGCTCTATCACTATCAATGCTCTAACCATTAATTACGATTAAACACATAGTAATAACTGCAGAGGGCCTAATCACTCAAGGAATTGATGAAGTACAGTATAGGTAAACAGATTAAGAGAGTGGGAGGTAGTGTTAGGGTAATGGAAGTAAAAAGCAAGGATTATTGGGGGCTGATAAGGCTCTATGAATCTAGGGACAATGGAGGCAACTGCCAAGATGGTCAGTGAGATGGTAAAAGGTGTGAGGTAGGTAAAGTCACAGGTTACTAAGTGGAATGTCAGTGACAGTGACAGGTAGACAAGGTCAGTTATGGTTCATCTGTCAGGAAAGCATTGAGTTTGTGGATCTGAGAGTCAAGTGATGGAGCCTAAGAACTCAGTGACAGGAACCCTGAGCTGTGGACTCTGGTCTTGTGCTGAGTGAGCTGTCATGTTGGTCACATGAGCTTGGTCTTGGGTGTACATGGTTCTCTCTGCCATGAACAGGTAAACTGGTGGCCTGTTCACCTTGTTACTGATACAGGTGGCATCAGCTAATCAGCAGGTGGGCAGTGTGAGATGGGACGAACGTCAAAGGATAAGCGGGATGTCTACTATCGCCTGGCCAAGGAGAATGGCTGGCGGGCCCGCAGCGCCTTCAAACTGCTACAGCTCGACGAGGAATTCCACCTCTTCCAAGGTCCTAAGGCGGGTCAAACACCCAGAGGTTGGGGTGGACATGGGTGGGCTAGGTCGCCAGAGCTCCCTGTGGCAGGCAGGCTGACTTGGACAGTCTCTAGGGTGGGGAGACAAGCAAGAAAATGACTGAATCTCAAAGAAGAGTGAGCACTCAACAATGGATAGGCATGGACGCTCCCCAGCAGAGAGGGATGAGGAATTGTAGAGGTGGTTACAACTGACCAGTACATTTTCCTTGTGTGCTTAGGTGTGACCCGGGCGGTTGACCTGTGTGCAGCTCCAGGCAGCTGGAGCCAGGTGCTGAGTCAGAAGATTGGGTAAGTGGGGTGGAGGGAGTGGGTGAGAGGGGCAGCCTGGATGAGGGAGGGGCTGTGAGTAAAATAGGGCTGACATGGGCCACATTGTCTACAGGGGCCAGGGGCCTGGCCATGTGGTAGCTGTGGATTTGCAGGCTATGGCTCCCCTACCAGGTGTGATACAGATTCAAGGAGACATCACCCAGGTGAGAGTGTGACTGCAGGTGTTGTGGTGTGTGGGTGGGTAAAACAGAAGAGAGAGCTTAGAAGGAATAGAGAGAAATTGGGTATGGCATAGTAGAGCACCTGCTTGGCCTGCAAGAGGCCCTGGGTTCTATCCCTGGATCACAGGCAGGATCAGAGATCATATAACTCACCATAGTGGCACATACCTATAATCCCAGAACTCAGGAGGCTGAGGTAGGAGAATTGTGAGTTCTAGCCCAGCCTGAGCCACATAGTAAGACCCTGTCTCCACATCTATCCTCCCCTTAAAAAAGATTAGTAGCACAGAAACAGAGCCAACAGGTCATCATTGCAGAGAGACCACAAAAAGTGATGAAGCCACGTCCCAGAGATGAACCCAGTCTTACTTAGACTAGCATAGCCTGAAGACTTGGCTCACTTGGGAGTACCAGGGCCAGTTGGACTTGGGCACTAGTGGGCCACACTGGGTCACTTACCCTACCCCCTCTCTCTGTAGCTTTCCACTGCCAAGGAAATCATCCAGCACTTTGAGGGCTGCCATGCAGACCTAGTGGTGTGTGACGGGGCTCCCGATGGTAAATGAAATGGGCAGGGGGAGGTGATATGCATGTCCTCTGTGTGTCCCACCTTGGTTGACTTTCTGTCTCTTTCCTCTGGTCACAGCTTCCCCCCGTCATACACATACCTAGCTTCCTCGACTTCCTGCTTCTGCCTCTGTCTTCTCCCCTGTCCTCACCCCTGTTGGGTTTTTTATTTTTTCGATGCTAAGGATCAACCTAGGACCTCACACTTGTGAGGCAAGGGTTCTGCCCTTGAACGCTGCTCCTAGTCTTCCCTTTGAGTTTTGTTCTTTTTGTCCACCCTTCCTTCTCATCTCTCTGCACCTATCCAATTCCCTCTTACTATTCATACTTTTTAGTTCTTTGTTTGTAACACATTTGATCTAGCATTCTAGGAGGTTGAGGTAAGAGGATTGTAAGTTCAAGCACAGCCTGGGCAACTTAGCAAGACCCTGGCCCAAAATAAAAAATGAAAACCTGGGATATAAGCTCTGTGTAGAGACCTTAAGTTCAGTCCCCAGTACCAGGAAAAAAATTTGCTGAACACTTGTTTTGTTGGGAAAGCATTGGTACATAGAATTACCCTGGTCTCTAACTTCACGCAGCTGATGTTCCAGTGGGAGCCAATGGAAAAGGAAATAAACAGTTGATCCAGACATAGTGGCACATGCTTATAATCCCAACACTTGGGAGGCCGAGGTAAGAGGATCACTGAGAGTTGAGTTTGAGGCCAACCTGGGCTACATAGCAAGACCATCTCAAACCAGAGAAAAAAAGAAAGAAAATAAACAGCTGAGCTAAGTGACAAGTTTAAAAGTGATAAAGCCAGGTATGTGACAGATGCCTGTAATCCCAGCTGCTCTGGAGGCAGAAGATCACAATTTAAGGTCAGCCTGTGCAACAGAAGCATAAACACTGGGAATGTAGTTTAGCTCAGCACAAAGGCCCAGTCTCCAATAGGCAGAAAAGTAGGGGGAGGTGACAGTGCCATGGTAAAGATGTTGCTTTTTTTTTTTTTTTTTTGGCTTCTGAGGACCAAACTCATGACCTTGTGCTTGTCAGGCAGGCGTTGTGCTGTGTGACTTGTCCCAGCCCCTATTTTGCCCCTTTTTTGGTAAGATAATTGTTTGGGCAACACCAGGAGAGGGTTATAGGCAGAAGACTGCATGGCTTGGGTTGTGGCAGGATCCCTCCTTCAGGTTGCTCAAGTGGTGGAAAGGCAGGGCCAAAAGCAGGGGTCCTGGGAGGAGGAGGTCCCTGCAGTAGTCAGGTGAGTAAGAAGTGGCAGAAATGGGGAGGACTGATTGAGGACACCTTTTGAAATAGAGCTGCCAAGATTTGCTAATGTCTGCAACTTGAAATTTGCTGATATCTGGAATGTAGGTATTAGGAGAACGGTGTCAAAGGGAACTAAAGTTTGGGCCAGAATATCTAGAAGGCCCAGGTGAGACAGTCAAGGAGCAGTTTGGACAAGAGGTCCAAGAGTTTGGATTTGAACTTGTTAAAGCTGTAGGGTATGGTCTGCCAACTGAGCTCAGAGTGACCATCTGTTGTTGCTTATATGTGAAGTTATTTTAGAATTAAAATGACTTACTTCCTAAGGGTCAGGAGCTCTGAGCATGTATCCAATTGGCAGGTAGTAATTTGTACCCAGAACCTTAGTAAAAGCCTGAGAATGCTGTTTTAGTCATCTCATCTCTGGTGCAAGAAGATATATAGAGCCCAGTGGGGCCTCTAATGCTGTTCCTCTCGCTGCAGTCACTGGCCTCCATGATGTTGATGAGTACATGCAGGCCCAGCTCCTCCTAGCCGTGAGTAACCTTGGCCATCCCTGCCTTCCTTCAAACCCCTCCTGCCTATCTCCACTTCAGCCTCAGCCGTCTGTCCTGCCCACAGGCTCTGAACATTGCTACTCACGTCTTGAAGCCAGGGGGTTGCTTTGTGGCCAAGGTAAGTACTAGGGAACCTAATAGAATGGAGAGAGTGGTTCCTGGGGGCCACCCTCGTCCCTCCATCTCAGCCTCTTCACCCTGCAGATATTCCGAGGCCGGGATGTGACTCTGCTCTACAGCCAACTACGTGTCTTCTTCTCCAGTGTGCTTTGCGCTAAGCCTAGGAGCAGCCGGAACTCCAGCATCGGTCAGTAGGGTAGAGGCTGGGGAGGCAAAGGGATGCTTGGAAGTGTGACCTGCACAAGATGGATGCGGTAGTCTTCAACATGCATCCCCCCCACAGAGGCCTTTGCTGTCTGTCGGGGTTATGACCCTCCTGAGGGCTTCGTTGCAGACCTGACCAAGCCTCTGCTGGACCACTCATACGGTGAGAGCCACAGTTAAGGGCCGTCCCTGGGGTTCTATCTCCCACCGCATACACTGGATATCTTGAGGCAACCTCAGCCCCACACCACAAAAACTGCATTTGACTAAGGGACTTCTGTCTTAGGAAGCCACTCAGTCATACCTGAGGAAGACAATGAGTTGTACTGTATGTCCCAAAGTGAAAGAGTCATCCACGTCAGACTTTTGCCCTATGAGGGAGAAGGTCCAGTCTGTGTATAATAGAATGTAAAATGGATATGAGTACTGGGAGAAATCAGAACAGGGGTGTCAGAAGGGGTTGGTGGAGGGTTTCCCAATGAGGAGATGACCTGAAGGAAAGTTGCTGAGGGGAGGTTGGCTCGTAGATATGTTGGGAGGACTAGGTACCCATACTGTGGCCTGAGTCATGACTGGTCCTGTCCTCAGTCTTTTCCCTGCCTTTTCCTAAGACTCAGATTTCAACCAACTGGATGGCCCCACCCGCATTATTGTGCCTTTTGTGACCTGTGGGGACCTGAGCGCCTATGATTCAGACCGCAGTTACCCACTGGACGTGAGTGCCCTGCCAATGGGTGGGGAGGCTTTCCTAGTTTCCAGGGCCTCATAGTCTCCTGCCTCTTGTGTTTCTTCAGTTACAAGATGGCTCCGAGTACAAGTATACTCCACCCACACAGCCCCCCATCTCACCTCCATACCAGGAGGCCTGTACATTGAAGAAGAAGGGGCAGCTGGCCAAGGAGACCCGTCCTCAGGACTGCCCCATCAGCAGAGTGGATGTACCATCTCAACCACTGACCTCCCCTTAACACCACACCCTGCTGGCCCCTGAGGTCTGGAAAAGTGGCTCTGAGCCCACATTGACCCCTTCCCAGTGTGCCTCTTTCTACCCTGAATCCCATGGTCCCTTTTTTCATGCCTCCCAAAATCTGTAAAAATCAATAGGTTGACTTAAGTGTGATGAATGGAAAGAAAAATTTAGCCAAATATCTGAAACCCTTTTCTTTTCCTTGGATAGGTAAAACACAACAAACCGAACTGTACACCTTAACACATTAAGGTAAGTTTGTCTTTTACCTAAGGGTTGGAATGAAGGGCATCTGTCTTGGTTACTTTTCTCTCATTGCTGAAACATAATACCTGATGCCCAAAATGAAGGAAGAAAAGGTTTATTTAGCTTACAGTTTTTGGAGGTTTCAATCAATGCTCAGCTGGTTCCAAGACAGGGTAGCATAGCTAGGAGGCAACTGTTCATGGCAGCTACAAGCAACAAGTACCAAAAGGGCAAAAGCATGCCTCCTTTTTTCTCTTATATTGTATGTCAGCTACCTGCCCCTGGTGGGTACAGCACTCAAACTACCCATCCAGCGCTAGACAGCAAACCAATCACAAATGCTAGGCTCTGCTGCCTTCAAAAGGACCACCACCACCACCCCCCACCATGACCACATGAGGCTTTTGGAGGGACATCTAGACACAAACCATAAAATTCCAACCCTGGCCCCTCAAAGATTCATGTACACCCTTTATGTAAAAGGCATGTCATCCATCTCCAAGAATTGCCAAAATCCTAACAGTTTCAGCATTGCTGAAAAAATCCAAATCCCAAGTCTCCTCTAAGATATAAGACAAACTGTTAGCTATAAGCTCCTGTACAAATGAAAACAAAGTTAAACCCTTGACATTCAATGGCACAAGATAAACATTACTATTCCAAAGGGTAAAACAGGAAGATACAAAGGAAAGGGACTAAAGGAAATCCAAAATCCAGCAGGGAAAACATTTAAGTCCTAGAGTTCTATGTCCAGCATCTGAAGCAGTCTGATTGTGAGCTCCAGAAGGCTTGAGTGCCTCCACCCCTACGGTACTTGTGGTGGTTGTAGCTCCCACAGCTTCCCTCTTAGGCTGGCTTTGCTCCCTCCTTGCAGGTTTCCTTAGATGATCCATGCTCCTGGCTTTTCTAAACTTGTGGGATCTCCACTGCATCTTTAGCTTCACCCTCACAGCTTCACATGCTGCCCTGTCTGGCACACTGCTTTGCCTCCCAGTCCTTCTGAAATCTAGGTGGAAGCCTCCTTAACCTCATAACGCTTGCATTTTGCATGTGCCTAAAACCAGTGCATTATGGATGATGCCAAGTTCTGCTCCCAGAAGAAACAGGCTTTCTTCTATCTTGGCTGTAGGGGTCAAATTTCTTGATTGCTGAGCACTCTGAACCTGAATCTGAAAAACAATTTCTGTAAGCTGCTACCATTCTAGAGCCTGGTGCAGCTGTTACCATTTTGGAATGTGGTTCAGCCACCACCCCATTCTAGAATATAATGTGACTGCCACCATTGTGGAACATGATACTCTACACCTTTCTCCTCAAAGCCTAGTCTTTTACTTTTGCAATTTTGAGGCTGCAAAGGGTGGAGACATGCTGCTTCTTGTGATGCCCTCAGACCATCTTTTATACTCTCCTGTTCCTTCTCATCAGTTGAGATCCCTTCAGCTCTATTTTTGCAGTCCACAGACTTGGGCTTCCATTCTGGCCAAACTCAGAACAACATTTTAAATTATTCTGTTTGGCTCTTTGCTTTTGATTCTCAAAAGAAATTAGCCCCAACAGTAGCCATGCCACCACCTCAACATTAGACTGCCTAGAAATTTCTTCTGCTATATTAATTAGTCTACTTCTCTTAATCGTAGGGTATGGCAAAATCTCTGGGCATGATCAAAATGTAGACAAACTTTTTGCCAAGCCATAAAACACAGCATCTGTACTCCAACAACAAATGCAGTCCTTTTACCCAGGAAAAACCTCCTGAACCTGTTCTTTTCAAGCAGGATTTCTACAACTTTCTGGTCTTCTGATCTCTGACCAGAATCTCCCATACAGAACAGCCTAACACGTTCCAGCTTTACTCTTACAGATGACATCTCCAAACCTTTCCAAACTCTTCTCACAAGCCAATCCCAAAGGCTTTTGAATCACATGGTCAGGTATAATCACAGCAATGACCCCACTTCACTGGTACCAAATTCTGTCTTGGTTACCTTTCTCTCCTTGCTGGGACAAAACATCTGATGCCCAAAATTAAGAAAGGAAAGTTTTGGGGCTAGGGATTTAGCTCAGCAGCATAAGCACCTTCCTTGCAAGCAGGCGATCATGAGTTCAATCCCTGGTACCAATAAAAGAAAAAAAGAAAGGAAAGGTTTATTTAGCTCACAGTTTGTAGAGGTTTCAATCCATAATTTACTGGCTCCAAGGCAGAGTGGCATGTGGCAGAAGGCAACAGTTCATGGAGGCAGAAGACAGCAAAACAACAAAAGCCAAAAAAAGGAAGAACCCAAGAAAAGACTCTTTCTTGTCCCTTATACTGTATGTCAACCATACCCACTTGGGTGTAGCACTAACACCCATAATCCCATCATTAGACTGTGAATCAATCACAAACTCTGGAAACCTACCCCAATGACTACACATGGTTTTAGGGCAACATCTAGTCAAAAACCATAACAACATCTCTAAGAAAAAACTCTATAAAAGTGAACTTTTTTTTTTCTTTTTGAGATAGGCCTTGCTATGTTGCTCAGGTTGATCTCAAACTCCTGGGTTTAAGTACTTACATGCCTCAGCCTCCAAAATAGCTGGGACTACAGGCTTATATCACCATATCTGACACAGTTTCACCTTTTAAATGTTGCATCAGCTAATAAGATTACACTCAATGGAGATTTACTAGACATTCTTGCTGTCTGCTAGGAACTGCTCGAAGCTTTTACATATTCCATTTTGAGGCATTCAGGAAATAGCTGTTGAGAACATACTGTAAGCTATGCATTGTTCTATGATTGGAGGTATAGCAAGGAACAAAACAGACAAATGTTGCAATCCTTATAGAGTTACTAATTTGGGAAAGGAGTAACAAATAAAACTCTGAGCGGGCACAGTGTTGCAATGTCTATAATCCAGCTACTCAGAAGCTGAGGCAGGGGGATTGCTGGCCAATTTAGCAAGATTCTTTCTGAACATAAAAAAAAAGGACTGGTGTTGTAGTTCAGTATGTAGCATGCTTGCTTAGCATGTATGAGCCCCTGGGTTCAATCCCCACTATCGTAGAAAGAAAAGCAGTCTATGTATGCACAAACATACTATATAGCTTGTATTTCACATTTATGCGTACTATGTAATGATGTTTTTGTCAATAGTGGACTGCATACACACCAGTGGTCCCATAATATTATATCACCTAGTGATCTCATAGCCACCTCAATGTAAGTATACTGTATGATATTTGCACTATGCCAAAAATCATCAAGGATGATTTTTCCCGCAATGTGTCCCTTTTTTAAATGATGCATGATTGTATGTATAATATGTAAAAGTAATGTGGGATATGAAAAATAGAGAAAGTAAAACAGAATGAAGAGAATTAGGAATTATAGGTAGATATAGCTGTTAGCAGTTTTGAAAAGGCTGTTGTGGAAGGCTCTCCCTAGGTAATGTTTAAGCAGAAACTTGAAACAGTGCAGAGGATACAGAAGAGTTCCAGAGGTGAAACATGAGTCATGATTGATCCATAGCAGAGTTTGGTAACTCCCAAATGTTAAAGGATGTCCATTTTTTTTGACAGTGCCCTATCAGGTTATTCTGACTAAGCTTTCTCTTTAAAAAGAAACATTAACAAAATCACAGCTGGGCACAGTGGCAATTTCCTATAATACCAGCACTCCAGGAGGCTGAGGCAAGAAGATCACAAGTTCCAGTCCAAGCCCAGCATGGTGGCACATGACTGTAATCCCAGCACTCAGGAGGGTGAGGCAAGAGGATTGTTGCAAGTTGTAGACCAGCCTGGGCTACAGACTGAGCTCAAGGCAAGCCCAAACTGCATGGTGAGACCCTGTTTCAAAAGAAGACAAAAAGTTCCAGCCCATTTAAAAAGATTGACAATACTAAACATTTGGAAGGATAATTAATTACAAACTTGATCCATGCTGCTGGGAGCATATAATAGTACCATCACTATGGAAACCTGTGTGTGTGTGTGTGTGTGTGTGTGTGTGTGTGTGTGTTTGAGACAGGATCTCACTGTGTAGTTCAAGCTGGCTTTGAACTCACAATGTAGCCCAGGCTGGTCTCGAACTTGCATTGATCCTCCTGCCTCAGCCTCCCAGAGGCCGAGATTGCAGATGTATTCCATCATGCCTGGCTGCCAATTTTCTATTAAAGCTGCCAATTCCATTCCTAAGAAATTCCATCCCTAAGAAATAGGTACTAGAGAAATGACAGATACTGCTCAGTAGTGGGTTACACGCCTAACATGTATGAGACCCAGGGTTGTATCCCCAGCAGCGGAAAAGAGAAAATGATAGACTACTAGAATGGCTAGAGCAGTACTCTTTGTAGTACCCCCATTAAATCATGGTCTGTTTATAGTGGAGAACAACAACAGTGAGAGTAAACATCCTACACTTAAACAAAATAACAGCTTACAGTTAATCAATTGAGCCCCTATGTTTTATGCATTTTTCTGTATGTTTTTGTTTGCAGTAAAAGAGAGAAATCAAAAATTGTTCAAGCTTAGTGAACAATGATTATAATAAAAAGAAAGTAGATTTTTTTGTGGGGGAGGGTGCTAGTATCAAACTTAAATCCTTGCATTTGATAGGCAAACACTCTACTATTGAGCTGCATACCCCCAACCCCTGAGGGCTTGCAAGTTTGTTTAAAACCTTCTTTTTCTTTGTCTTTCAGTTAACTGGCAAGCTGACAACTCAGAAACTGCTGCCTTTCAAGAAAAACAGCTTGAGTTGATGAACTTGTCCTCAGATATCAGCAGGCCTACACAGACAAGCCATGAATGGGATTCTGCAACATGCCCATGTCTCAGTCACTTTCTCATCATTAGGAAATGGTGCCCAACACCTACGACTTAAAGAAGGAGGTTTACTTTGGCTCACATTTTTTTATTCCATAGTTGACTGGCTCCAGGGAAGAAAGGGATGAGAATGGCGTGGGTGATTATGTTTGTAACATTTCCAGCATTGCTGAAATGTTCAAGTGCAAAATTTCCTCTGAGACTCAAAGCAACTTGTAGCTATGAGCAAAAGAAAGTTAACATACAATACCACAAGATGAATATTTCAAAAGGGAGGAATAGGAAGAGAAAAAGGAACTGAACCAAAACAAGACTGAAACCCAGCACTAAGTGCTATAGCTCCATGTTCAATACTTGGGCCAAGTTATGGCAAGATGTAAACTCCAAATTGCTTGAGTGGCCCTACCCCTGTGGCTTTGCCATTTGAACCCCAATGGCTTCTCTCTGGAGGTAGTTTTGCTTACTGCCTGTAGCATTCCTCAGTTGATGTTCCATTGTTCCTGGCATCTGTAACTTCCTGGAGTCTATTGCACCTCCAGTTTCACTCTCAGTTTCATGCACTGACCTCCCAGGTCTTCTGAACTCCGGGTGGAAGCTTTCTAGACCTCATAAGTCTTATAGTATATTTGCCTGTAAAACAAGCACTATGTAGATGATGCCAAGGTCTCCCACCAGCTCGCACAGTAGCTGGGCCCTTTATATCATTGTTGCAAAAGCCTCAATGGCTGAGCACTGTGAACTAAACCCTAGGGAACCAATTCCCTAGGTAGCCCTTCTCCCGCATGGTGCCCTGAGGTTCTCTTCTCCAACACATTTTAGCCTCAGAGGGGTGGGGTTTTGCAGATTTCTGTGGTGCCTTCAAGGCATCTTTCCTATTGTCCTAATGTAAAGTATTTGGCTTCTTTATAATGTTAATCTTTTTAGCAACCAAGCTTTCCTTGTCCAAAACTTTACAGGCCTCAACTTTACAAGAGCTTCCTTTTTGGTGAAACTTAAAACATTTAAAGTCACTGGGATGTTCCATTTGCTCTTGATTCTCAGTATATATCTGGGTAAAGGCTGCCAACAATACCTATGCCTCAGGCTCAACATTGGTCTGCTTTGAAATTCTCTCCCCGTAATTTAGTAATCCAATATCTTTTATTTCACTGCCCCACTAAGTCTCAGGATATGAACAGAATGTAGACAAAAATTCTACCAGAGTGTAAAGCACATGGCCTGGAGCCCAATTGCCAATAGAATTCTTGTTCCCAACTAAAATCTCCTGAGCTTGGTCTTGATGGCTTCTGCCTTTCACCATTCTGGCTTATGAACTCTGACCACAATCTCCCTTGAAGCTTGGCTTACAATACTTGGGCTTTTCTAGCTACGTCTCCAAACCTTTTCAAATACCCCTTCCCTCAAGAACCAGTTACAAAGGCTTCTAAGTCACATGGCCAGGTAGCATCACAGCAGTATCCCACTTGTACCAAAATCTGCCTTAGTCACTTCTTGTTCCTGGAATTCAATGCTTGACATTAGAGGTTTGCCTATAGTTATATGGCTCCAGGGCAGAAATGGCTTTGCTGAAGGGCCTGTTACTGAAAAAGGCTGCCTACCTGTTGGCAGCCATGGAAGGAGATGCACTCTTTGGGTCACATTCCCAATGACCTTCCTCTTCTGACCAGACCTCATATCCTAATAGCAAGTCAGCTATAGTGCCATCCATCGTAGTTCATAACTTACCAAACACATGAGGCTTTGAGGGCCATTTTAGATCTAAACTGTAGTACTACATGAGGAGAACAAGGAAGGAAATAACACAGAAGTCTGTTGTGCTGTGGTGAAATTTTCTTGAGCTGTGCAAGGTCTTACCTCATAAAGCTATATATTCTGACTCTATGATTTCCCCATAAAGTAGGTCCTTCACCTGATAGATGTCAGGGGTAACCATGAACTTGAAGAAAACATTTCACCTTTATTTTCACTGATATAACTAAAATTTAGCTTTATTCCCAGACATTGGATTTAAAAAATCAGAAGCAGTATACAATTTTCTACTATGGCAAGACACTTTATATTATAAGACTGTTACAGGCATGTTGAAATATTCATTCCCCAACAATTTGGGTGATCTTCTAATTTGATGTTCTAATTTTAAAACCCCTTTAGCCAGGCATGGTGGTGCATGGTTGTAATCCCAGCATTCTGGAAGCTAAGGCAAGATTACAGCAAATTCAAGGAAGCCTAGGCTTTACATGGTGAGTTCAAGGCCAGCCTGTACTACATAGCAAGGTCATGTCACAAATATTTAAAAATAAATAAAAAGCCCCTTTATTACTGCATTCCAATTTTCTGTAATATATAATAATAATTATATATTACAACTAGTTTTTATTGTAGTCCTCTGTGTGTGCGCATGCGTGCCCACCCATACGTACTTTAAAAATATTGAGTGATGGGCTAGCAATGTGCAAACATCTGGATACCCAGACTCGGGCACATGTGTGCACTTTTTCACTCACACTTGCACATTCATGGGCAGCCCCTTATAAACCAGATAGGCTTTAGGGTTCTGCTAGACCACATCCGGTTTGGGTCACAAGAGCTGGAAATCATTCTATCCACTGAAAAATTTTCTCAAGTCTTCCAGTGTATGAGACTGCGCTAGTCAATGGCTGTTTCTCCAGCTTAGGACTTGTGCATCTTTCTGGCTATGTCGGCTTTCTACTTCATCTCTAGACTTCCTTTACCTTTGAAGAGCTGGATGTTGAGGGGAGATTCAAGCTCAAGTAGCACCTTTGGGAACTGGGCCACTTTGAAACTGTAGAGACAGAAATTACCCAGTGCAAGGCTGATAATTGCCATCCACAAAAATGCAAATGAAATTAGGCCTGTCCTGGTAATATTGTTACTGTGGATGCTGAGGCAGAAGGATCCTTTGAGCTAAGGGGTTCAGGGCCACCGTGGGCAACATATCAAGGCCCAGTCTTTAAAAAGTTCAAACTGCAAATGAATTTTGTCCTATAGAACACTTAACTGATTCCTACCTTGTACTAAAAGATGATTCCACCAAATATTAATATAGCAAGTTTATTTCAATATCCCTGGTTGCCTGTGTATGTCTGATTTTTTCCCCACCAAATGCAGTCACATTGATTTTCTTTTTTAAAAAAGCAAACAACAGGGGCCTGGGGATTTAGCTCAGCGGCATAAGCACCTGCCTTGCAAGCAGGCAGTTGTGAGTTCGATCCCCGGTATTGATAAAAAGGAAAAAGACAAAAAAAAAAGAAGCTGGTTATGGTGGCTAATGCCTACAATCCCCTGAGCATAAGCACCTGCCTTGCAAGCAGGCAGTTGTGAGTTCGATCCCCAGTATCGATAAAAAGGAAAAAGACAAAAAAAAAAAAGCTGGTTATGGTGGCTAATGCCTACAATCCCAGCATTTGGGAAACCAAGATAGGAAGATCACATTAGTTAAAGGCCAGCCTAGATGACGTAGTGAGTATAAGGCCATGATCTGAATAGCAAGGCCCTATCTCATAAATATATAAATAAATAGAAAAGGCAAATGACAAAACCTAGTTTGCCAGCTTTTTAAAAACCTAAGCTCAACATTACATATTTGAACAGTTGTCTAAATCTTACTAAATTGTCAGCATCCATGCACATCCTGAAAACATCTTTAAACTTAAACCAGAACTATATTACCATTAATGCATTAATATCTTTCATTTCTGAATGCTGAAGAAATGGAGATTATATCTGTGTAGGACTCTTCCTGGCAATGTTAGTTTCACAGTCGGCAGACATTACTTGGTTCACGTCTCAGACACAATGAGAACAGATGCATACTGCTGTTTAGTGCTACTCCAGAGCCAAGACTTACCCTGAATTACATTTAATAAAAACCTAAGTGCATACAGAAATTACAACAATGTTAAAGACTGGCAGCTGTTCACTCTTTCCCTACTTTTACTTGACCCAAATCTGCTCTTTGGAACCTGTTTTTTGTTTTCCTACCTGTAATAAAACTTTGCTATTGTTAAAAAAAATTGGTTTTTTGAGACAGGGTGTGACTATATAGTTCAGCCTTGAACTCACTATGTACCCCAGGCTGGTCTCGAACTCATGGCAATTCTTGTGCCTCAACACCTGACAAAAAACAGACAAAAGCAAACAACCACCACATGCACAATTTTAAAGGCTAAAATGGTCCCAAGAGATATTGGGAAATGGGAATAAAATGTTCAAATGAGAAGGGGAACAGGGAAAGTGGAGGCATAAAGGAAAAAAGAGAAGAAAAAAGAATAGAAAGAGAGCTGAGTGTAGTGGTGCATGCCTGTAATCTTAGCATTAGGGAGGCTAACGCAAGAAGATTGTTTCAAGTTTGAGACCAGCCTAGGCTACAAGGTGAGCTCAGAGCCAGCCTGAATTGCATAGCAAGACCCTGTCTCAAAAAGAACCCCCCCCCCAAAAGAGAATAGACAGGAAAATAGAAAGAAAACTTTTGTAAATAAGGAGATGAAGAGAGGGTAGAAAATAGGAACAAAAGAAAAGACATATTATGTACATGTATAAATTCTCTATAATGAATGTGATCATGCATATCTAAAATGTATCAATAAAATTTTAAAAACTCAAAGACTAAAATAGTCCTAGAGTGTGGTCTTAACAATAAACTCAAACATCTGTGACAGGTTGTGTGTGATGTGCATCTGTGATCCCTTCACCAAGGAGGCTGAGGCAGAAGGATTTCTGTGAGTTCAAGGCCAACCTGGATTATATAGTGAGACCGTGCCTCAAACCCCCAAAACAAATCATCTATGACAAATGGGGGGGTAATGAGCTGTTTATAATACTTTAGGCATAATTATAATGAAAGTCAAGTACATTTGAAATCAAAAATAATGTTACTGTTAATCTTCAGTGGTGCTTGTTGTAGTTTAACATGTTTGTTAAATGTGTGCACTGAATTACGTGTTATCCAAGCATAGCAGCTGCTTCTTACTTTTTTATCATTAACAGCTTCACTGGCCATTTTCTTCAAAGTCTACCCTTTCAGACTATTCTCAACAATTCACTTCATGGCAATTTTTCTGCCATTAACTATTTCAGTAGAACTTGATATAGATGTGAAGTGATATTTGATACTAGTAATTAAAATCAGGATCGGGGTGAATGCTAAGCATGCAGTCTACCAACTGAGCCATACCACTAGCAAATAAAATTATTCTCTTGTTTTTTGGATTTTTTTGAGACAGGATTTTGCTATGAAGTCCAGCCTGACCTCAAACACTGAATCCTACCTCAGCCTCCCAAGGCCTAGCATTATAGTTTTGTGCCTCTGCACTCACCTCCAAGTAAATTCCTTAATGTGTTTGATATATATTTGTATGATAATGATGCCCTGCATCAACCAGCTCACAGTACACCTGAGGTCTCCAACAGAGAGGACAGGGTCTTCCTGAAGTGATTCTCAGGGACTAGAACTAGGAGATAGTGCTAAACCCAGGCTGTCCTGGACTCTGCCTTGCCTCTAGGGCCGTGGCACACCTCCAAACAGAGTCAGCCTCCATTACCACCATCCTGACCAGTGGCAGTGCTGAAATGCCCTCTTGCCATCCTGGGGCATGATGTGGGAACACCTGTGCGAAGAGTTCTATTTTCAAGTTATTTCAACTGCCATCCCTCAGCTTCTTTATCAGTACGTGGATATAATTATGGCTCCTGCCATCGGTGATGGAGATAAGACAACAGACCTGAAGCTCTTCAAATTGCCGACCCAATACTTATCAATATACAGCAGCTATTAGCTAGTAGGTCTGTGCTTTGTGGAACTTCAATGATAGATCAGTTGTCATTGCTGCTGTCAAGGTAGGTTTTTGCTATGTTGTAAGGCTGCTTCAGACTCCTGGGGAAGTGATCCTCCTGTGCTTGCACAAGCACATTCAGCTAGCGATAGGTTTTTTGTCTTTTGTTTCATTTTTCTATTTGTTTGATGTTTGTTTTCTATTTGATATTTGTTTTGCAATACTGGGGATTAAACACGGCCTTTGCACTGAGTGACATCCCCAGCCTTTTTTCTATTTTTTATTTTGAAATAGTGGGGGGTCTTGCTAAGTCACTGAGTTGTCCTGGCTGGCCTCAATCTTGTGATCCTCCTGCCTCAGCCTTCCCAAGCACTAGGGTTAGACATGTGTCACCATGGCCAGCTAATGGCAGGTATCTGTGAAAGGCTGCTTAGGACTCTCTGCAGATGCTGGCATAGGAGGGCCCAGCTATGCCACCTCTAGAGATGACACACAACAGATTTACTGTGAGTGATGGATGAGGGACAACACGCTGACCAGGAGTGTATGCCTGGCTTACTCTCTCTGGAAACCCATGTTGCCATACAGAGGATCGTGGGGCCCAGAAGACAATGGGAAAGAATGTAAGGCAAAGGGAATTGCCAACAGGTATCTATGGGGTGCTCAGGGTGGAGTCAGTTCTCAGGGCCTTGGATCTCTTCTCTACACGAGAGGCACTTTGAGCTGCTGCTCTGCTGAGGACCTATGTGGCCACTTTTGGGGACCAGAAGATAATGCCTGACTAGCAGCGGGAGCTCCCTCAGCCCAGACTCTGCTCTTGCAGAGAAGTCCACCAGATAAGAATGGAAGCAAAAGAAGAAGAAGAAGATGAGGAAGAGGAAGAGGAGGAGGAGGAGTAGGAAGGGAGAAGGAGAAGAGGAGGAGGAGGAAGGGGAGGAAGGGGAAGGAAGAAGGAGAAGAAGAGGAGGAGGAGGAGAAACCATGATGCAGTATTGGTAGTGCAAGCCTGTAATCTCAGCTTGTGGGAGGCTGAGGCAGGAGGACGACAGTTTTGAGCACAGCCTGGACAATTTAGCAACTTAATGAGACCCCTCTCAAAATAAAGGGTGAGGGATGTGGCTCAGAGAAAAGGGTCTACGTTTAAACCTCAGGGGTTGCATTCTGTGACCCGAGGGAGGTCCCTTCCAGTCAAGAATCCTGCCTATGCCACTGGCATGCACTGACCAATGTGAAGAGTGGGAAGATCGTCCATCTGGGCTGAGAGGGCAGGAAGGCAGAGGCATCCTCTGGGAAATGTATGTTGCAAAGGGAAGAAACACGATTCCAGCCAGTATGAGTAGAAGGGAATTGCCTGCCAGTGAGAGATGTCTGTGCACCAATAAGTATAGCACCTCCTCTTTCTGCCTGGGCCTCAGCATCCCCTCCCAGTGAAGAGCAAGAAGCCCTAAACTATAGAGAAACTACTGTGTCCTTTCAGTGCCAGTAGCAGCTTGCACTGTCTGGCTTGGGTCATACACTGCTTCTGGAGTCTACACTCAGGATGACACTTTGCTCTGGTTGGCCAGGCTAATCTAACCCCACAGGAACTATGCACAAGCCAAGCCTGGAGATATATACCTGTGATCTCAGCTACTCAGGAGGCTGAGGTGGGAAACTTGAAAGTACAAAGCTAACCTGAGCAATGTAGGAAGACCTCATCTCAAAAAATAAAAAATAAAAAGGGCTAGGGATGTATGTGGCTTAGTACCTCCTGGGTTCAATCATCAGTACTGAAAAAACGAAAACCAAACCCAACAGAACCACATGCAGTGAACAAGATGAAGTATGTCATCAAAAAGACATGGAAGCAGGGCACAATGGCTGTAATCCCAGCATTTGGAGAGGCCAAAGCAAGAAAATCACAAGCTCAAAATCCTGCCTAAAATTAGAGGGCATGAGAGTGGAACTCTATGGGAAAGCACTTACCTAGCAAGTATCAGGCCCATCCCTAGCATCATGAAAAATAAATAAAAAGAAGAGGAAAGGAAGAAAAGAAGAGAGTGGGTGAAAGTACTGTAAGAGGCCACCATTAAATCTTTCAGGAAAACCACTTGCAGACTTAGTCCTTTTCTGTCCTCTATTTGGAGGTTTTCAGTTTGTTTGGTGTTTTTTTGTTTTTGTTTTTTGTTTTTTGGGGGGTTTTTTTTGCCCTTTTTCAGTACCAGGTATAGAACCCAAGGCCTTCACACTGAGCTACATCCCTAACCTTTTTTATTTTTTATTCTGAGATGGATCTTGCAGAGTCACTAAGTTGCCCAGGCTGAGCTTAAACTTGAGATTCTTCTGCCTCAGCCTCCCAAATAGCTGGGGTTACAGGCTTGTGCTGGAGGTTTAGAGTTGTAGGCTACAAAGTTGCTCCATATCTCTTAGCCACTACAGATGGAAAGGTAATTCATGTTAAAATGCCAATAAGCGGGATGTGGTTCTACATGCCTATAATCCTAGCCCTCAGGAGGTTGAGGCAGGAAAATCACTGTGACTTTGACACCAACCTGTGTTACATAGTAGCTTCAAGGTGAGCCTGAACTACATTCAAGACCCTGAATTTTTTAAAAAAGCCAATGACTCCCAGAATGGGGAAACATGTTTGTGGCAGAGGCAGTCAAAAAGGCATTGTTTCGCTGGAGGCTGGCATAATCCAGTGCTTTCTGGGATGCCCACAGAATCAGGCCATGAGATGCTTCTGGGGAAATCTCTCCTGCTAGACTGAGAGGCTTGAGGGCAGGGACAGATAGAGTTCATCTCTGTGCTCCCAAGGCTGGATCCCCAGCAGCATCAATAATATGGGTCCACAAATGGAGGCACAGGGATGAATGGAGTGTGCAGGTGTGATGGGTGGCTGAGGGGGTGCCTTGTGAGTGGTGCAATTTAGGCAGTGTGGCCAAAGGATCTCTGTTGGGGAGGGGGGAATTCCAAATCCTCAGTACCTAGCTGCTCAAAGGCAGCCAGAGGTGGGAGTGACACCTTCCTCCTCAGCTCCAGTCTCCTTGGCAAGTAGATGCCCTTCTGGCACATTGGAGCTTGTGCTCTGCTGAGCCCTTTTTCTGAGGAATTTGTCTGTGCCCTGGTTAGTCTGTCTCTCTGTCTCTGTCTGTCTGTTTCTCTCCCTGTCTCTCTCTCTCCCCCCACCCTCTTTCTTTCATGCTGGGCAGAACCCAGGACCAGCCCTATTGGAGACCACTACAAAGCGGCTCTAAGCAGGATTTAAAATAACTAATTGGCTTTCTGTGTTTATCTGTGAGTCTGTCCTAGGCCTAGGCCCCTTGCCTGGCGACAGGAGGTGATTCATAGTAAGTGAACCTCTATGAATCACTGGTCCTGGCTGAGGTCTGCAGTGACCTGTGAGGCCAGAGATATCTCAAAGGGCAAGCTAAGGCCACAGTTACAGAAACTTGGCTCAAACATCAATTAAGTAGATAAGGACTACAGCTGCAGGAATTACTACTACAGTCTCACTGCTCCCATGACTTCATGATAAGACGGTTCTACTAAATTGACATGATTCATTACTTGGAGACATCCTTGAAGTGACCCCCAAGGTCCTGCTCATTGTCTGCACTTTCCTCAGTTTCCCTGCCCTTTGTTGGAACTAATAAAAATGAGCAGTCCAGAGAAGTCTTTGTCTTAGTCCTCAGAGTCTTGAGCTCAGCTAAAGGGTTTTGACATCCTAGAGCCCTAAAATCATACCATTTGTCTCATTTTTTTAAGCCTTCGTCATACACTCATTTAGGAGATTAGAGATCTAGGTCAAGACCCGATACAGCCCAAGGTACAATCTATAAAACTGATTTTTTAAAAGATGGAATTCCCTTTTGGACCCTTAGAGATGCTTTGTATGTGAGAGGAT